GACGCTGATAGCCGCGCGCAGCGAAACACATGAGGCACTCTTGTTTGACAACGTTCTGGCCGTCGCCGAAAACCGCGAGGAAATAATCCAGCCGCGCATCGACGTTCGCGATCGCGGCTGCGAGGTCTTCCGGCGACATCAGCGAATTTCCCGAGACAGAACTGTTAATATCATTTACAGACTTGCGCGTGCTCAGATTAGTCTGAAACCCCAACCGTGGCGCTCTCAACTTCTTTGACTGAGCACCCGCTTCGGGCTCGCCATGCCTCCGCGACAAAATTAGGTGTGCTAGCGTTCCCGCAGAAGCTCGGGCAGCCGGTGGATCCCTCGTCGTGCCCCCCTGTGTAGGTCGAGCTGTGTGAAGCTCCTCCGAAGCTTCAAATGAAATAATTGCGTTCTTGTGTCGCTTCTGGCAGAGCAACTGATCGCGCTCTCGAGAATGGAGCTGCGCGGCGTTGTCGAGCTGATCCCAGGAGGAGCTGCCGAAGGCGTCCGACATGTCCTCGAGCGTCATGGCATGCGTGATATCATGCGCCCTGAGGCGCCACGACGTAACCGGCGCCCCCGCGACGGCATCCTCACCGCGGCGGCGGCGACGGAAGTGGCCATGATCTTGGACTGCCCGGTAAAAGGCATGAAAGAGTCGAGTAATCAACTTTCCCGACTGCTGCCGTCGCATGCGCCGTGCGCCGCCCTCGAGGGCCAGCTCGACCAAATCTGCGCTAGCCTGCCCCTTCCGACCCGAGCCAGTAGAGGGGGCTGATGTTATGCATCGGGATCTTTGCCGAACCCACCTCCGCGCTGAATGTGGAACCTGATGTCGTCGGCGCGCCCAGCTCGTTGCCCGGGCCCTGGCCGCGCCGTTGCTTGAGCGCTCTCTTCGGAAGGAAGAGCATCCGCCAGAAGTCGAGGGGTGCTGAAAGAACTAAGAACTGCGCGTTATTGAGCTGCGTGCCGCATCCGCCGAATAACTCGATCCGCGTCCTCTGCGCAACGCTTTAACTTCTTCATTCGTGTCCCATGCGCGCTGCCGGCCGTCGCGTTCGGATCGCCATGTGAGCCAGTCTCGAGGTTGAACTGCCAGGCCACCTTGCGCATCTTTAAGGGGCCGCGCGTCAAGCCATGGCTGAGACGACGGTGGTGCAGATCGTGCAAGAAGCCCATATCGTGTTTTTGGTCCCAGACATGCCCTCGCTGCTCTTCTTGCCAATCTCATTGTTTCTGCCTGCCCGGAGAGATTCCATAAATCTGAAGCCTCCGCTGCCGGCTGAGATTGGAAAGCTCGAGATGCTCTGTGGCGAAAGATACGCTGCTCTTGCGACATCCGCTTCAACTCCTCATCAATCCGCTCGGCCTCCTCCACAGAAGCCTTGACTTTCTCCCTTCGCGTAGGTCCGTTCGCTGGTGAAGTAACCGTCGTCGCTGCCTGCGCCCAGCCTGTCGTCGAGGATCTCGCCCCAGCGTCCCCGTGCTAACTTGGGCCTGTCCCGCTGTCGAATACGTTCTCCCAGTAAATCAAAAATCGTATCAGGTGAGCCGCTATCGCGCATATGATGACACGGACCTCGAGTCGAATTCTTGCCGCGCAGCCTCGAGGAACCTCGCCTTGCCAGACCTCAAACGTCTCTGAGCATGCTGCGCATGCCACAAAGAGCATTCCAATGGAAAGTGATGCTGCGGACTCGGGCCACGGAGTGCCTGGGGTCGGGAGCCCACGCGATGCAAAACATGTGCGTGCGCTATGAGACTCTCCGTGACCTTCGGGAAGAATCAGCAATCTGTTCGAAACTTGCGACCACCCTGGCCATGATACGTCGGCGTAACGCAGGTGCCGCGTGCATTCGTAGCCATCGTTTCCTGCGACTCCTATATTTCACGGAGTTGCCCACCCGGAGAAAGGGGGGGGGGCTGGAGAGAAGGGGGGGGGGGGCAGGGGGGAGGGGGGGTGTTTGGAGGGGCCGGGGCCATCGCCATCTCCATCACCATTACCACCATCATCGTCACATCACCATCATCATCCTCGTCCGGAGCGCCCCGGATCGGCGGCACTGGCCAAAGGCCACTACAATGCAACACATATCTCTACTTCCAGTTGAATCAATATGAAAAAGATCCGCGTTGCGAAACATTTTTTTGCGGTGTTTTCTTTGACGCTAGATGTTGTAATCTTTCCGAAAACAAGCGTTCGCGCAGGAGTTCGGCATGCGCGCGCGACGACGCGCGCGCGTGCAGTTCATTTCTTTTTTTGTGCAAGCGGATTCTCGCGACGGCGCGCGCGCGCAGAGGCGCTCGGGCGATTTCGACATGCGCGAGCGCGATGCCCGTGTGGAAATATTTCCAAAGAAAACGCAAGACCGCGCGCGCTTTTGCACGTGAGAATCCGCGCTGTGAAACCATACTGAAACATTTTTGGGGGGCGCTCGATTTTGGAACCCTTCCGAAACCGAAGACTTCGGCTTGCGCGAGCGACGACGCGCGCGCGCACTTCGTCCCATTTTTC